CTGCTAAATGAAAAAGTGGTTATCCTGTGCTTGTCCTTTGTGCTTCATTCTTTCAATCTTTTGTATTCATGTTCAACCCGCTCGCCTTTACCAGTCCCTAGTTTTCCTCAACTAAAAGATGACCAGCTTGCCGCCCGCTAAAGAGCAGCTGGTCGCATCTTTCAAATCGGTTTTAGTGGAGTACGCGGCTCCACCTCGACGCCATATTTAGGCTATGATCATATTTTGGGGCGGCGGAGAAAAGCTCACCTGAGAAAACCTCACCGCAAAACCGGCAGATGCGGAGAAAAGCTCACCGGCCTTTGAGCGGATGCGGAGAAAAGCTCATCAATTTTTTTTTAATCTAGCGGATTCTGCGTCAAACGTGGCAATTTAACACAATTCACATTCATCACTTCATTAAAAATAAATCATCTTTTTTTGTAATATTCTTGAAGTTCATTGTGCAGATTTACTAATTCGTCAGAAATTAGTAATCTCCCATTTTGTATATTAATGAAGCCGCAAGGGTATAAAATAAAAAACGTCGTACACCGGTAAAAGAGACAACAACTTATCGACAGGTGTCAGTGCGCCGTCGGTAGCTCTGTCAGATAAAGGGGTTCGTTTTTTGCGAGCTAATATGAATCGGGGAGTGTGAACCGTTTCAGCTCCAATTATTGTGTAGTGCCTAATATATAAGTAGATGTTTGTTTGATGTAATCAGTGGCGGCTACACTGTTTTCTTTCTGTTAATTTGATAATTTGACTAACACAACTTTAGTTTTGAGAACAGCTTCGTCCTGTCGTGTTTGTTGTCTTCACTCCGTCGTCGTCGTTTGAGCGGTTTTCATCATGTATAACGCTTACCAACTCGCCCTACTCACTACCTTACAGAAGACTACTTCTTATATAGGTCACGAGTAACAACGGTGCCGGTGTGCAGCTCTGAAGGTCATGGGTGGTTCGCTGTAGAACACGGTGCTGTAGAAGGACACTATCACACAAAGGCAACGTGTGGAAACACCAGCACGAACGGCTAGAAAACGTTCATGTCCGGGGAAGGAAGAATCCTCAATATCCTACTGGCTGGTTTATCCTGTTTTCATAGGTTAACAAAAGCTTCCAAGAGAATTTGAGGCACAGCGTTGTTGCGCATGCACTTTCGAATTTTGGGCATTTACAGTTTTGATTTTTAGGTCTTAGGCAGACATCATTAAGTTTTGGACCTTTCTCCTGTTCTTCAAGTTTATAAAGTTTTCAGTTAGGTTTTAGTTGCCAAGGAAGTAAGCCACAGAAAACACTCGCCCGCAATTATTAATTTGGAAGCAGTGTACCCAAAAAGTTTAAAAATATTATAAAAATGACACTGTCTTTTTACAAAGCTGACGAATTTTAATGACAATAAATTGATATATGTTACGCATAATCACGCATCCTCAATATAAAATGAAGGAAAAAAATATCGGTGAGCTTTCCTCCGCATACGCTCAACGGCCGGTGAGCTTTTCTCCGCATTCGCCGGTTTTGCGGTGAGGTTTTCTCCGGTGAGCTTATCTCCGGTGAGCTTATCTGCAGTGAGCTGTTCTCCGGTGAGCTTTTCTATGGGATTCCATATTTTGTGCCACTAAAGCGAAAGAGTCTGGTTTCGTTATGGCCGGAGTTGCCCTTTAAGGAAGCGAACAGACTTTACCTTTGAAAAGGAGCTCCGGCGAAATATTGATAGTTAAATATTTGCCTCAAAATTAACTCAGCACATTAGTAGACTCGTGGGTACTTGTAACACATATTACAAGTTACAGTTGTTTTCTTGTTTGTTTTCTCGGGAACATATTGAAGACTTAAGGGTTGTCTAAGAGGCTGAGAGTCCCTACTGTCAAAAGACTGAGAACTTGACGTCCAATATTGAAATATGAAGGCAGCTGGTACCGACTGCCCCCGGAGGGGGGCAATCGGTATCAGCGCGGCCTCCATGGCCCCATAGAAAAGAAATGAAAAACGTATTTGAGCTCTAACGCCCAAATACTTTTTTAGGGGCGAAGCTCCTTGGGGTCTAGCCTTGTCCGTCCGGCCGGCCGGCGTCGGTGCTCACATGAAAAAAAATGTTTGCGCAGTCGACAGGATTCGAACCTGTGCGGGGAGACCCCAATGGATTTCTAGTCCATCGCCTTAACCACTCGGCCACGACTGCGGGACGAGCGAGGGGCACTGAGATGTGGTAGCAACTCAAGAGCTGGGGTTTCTGTCATGGATGAAGCGTTGCATGTAGCCACTCAACGTCTATACAGGAGAGGGCGCTGCGGTCAAATGCGTAAATAATCGCGTTAAACTTTGCACGCATTGGCTCAACGTTTATAGACGAGAGGGCGCCGCGGTCAAATGCTCAAATGCGTATATAATCAGGTTCCACACCACACAATCTCTTTCTGCATGGACCGTGGAGATGCGTTTCCACGGCTTCTAGCGGATCCAAGCTGATCCGCTAGAAGAACCACTGGCTCTTCATATCACCGACCATAAAGTAATGAAGTTATATTATGAAAATAATGAAGTCGAAACGCAACTCAGCACTACCTATGAGCAATAAAAAAATCAGCACTATCAGCACTACCTATGAACAATAAAATCAGTATCATCAGCACCACCAGAGATTCGCCACAATCAACATTATTCACCACGTGGAGATGCGGTCTTTTTTTTTTTTACTGCTTGCTCGACTTGCAACTCGTGACGTAACATAATATGTGACGTCACCCCACTGTACTGCGCGGGAAAATTTGAATCTTTGTTCCAACATCATTTTCGATCTGCCGTTTTTTCAGTAGCAATTTTGGATTTAAAAATATTAATTAGCATGTGGGGGTTGCTTATGCCCGAAGTTTAAAAAAAAAAAGAAAACTTAAGTTAGAAAAAATCTACCCCACTAAAAAAATGAAAAATCTTTATGAAGCCGTTTTTACGTTGCGAGCGTTGAACGCGAAAAGTGTGCGTACGGAAGCGGCCGGGCGCACTTCAGTCAACGCCCGGGCTAATGAGTGAAATTTTGGCCAGCGGGAATTCCAGCCGGACTGAATTGTCAATCGAACTGGCTTTTTCTTCGAGATGTTTTAAGTTGGCAAACGCGTCCATGATATTAGCCAAAGCAGGCGGTCTGGTGCGTGTCAACGAGTGTGATTTTTAGTCACTGAGAGCCGAAGAGAACGACGCAGGGTGTGGCTTATTACCTTTATGCTTTCTTCTTCGCGGTTCGTTCTTCCTTATTTACAATAGCTCATGGCGCAATCGCAGTGGCCGTGGTGTTAGTGACCGGGGCAAATTCGATTGCCATGTGAGTGACCGTATAATCCATGGGGGGACAGAGTGACGTAGGGTTAGAGCCGCAGACAAAACTACAGGAATTTAAAAAGCCGCAGGCAAAAAAAAATAAAAAAATAGGGAGGGGTTTATTTTTTACAAGAAACAATATTACAATATTAAGGGAACAGTCGTTTCCAGAGGGGACAAATGCAATTGTCGACAACAACACATAACACCAGGCGACAGAACGCTTCTTCAACCGCTAAACGAAAATGAATGCACTGTTCGCTAGCGAGCCAACGCCCCTAATGTCCGTTATGCGTGTGCAACAGTCAGCACGAAATCGCAGCTGATGACATGGCTGCCACCATAGTCGTTGTCAAGGGCTTATCCGCTATTGTCAGGTTATTTCATTTTTAATTGGTTTCTTTCGCGTTCTTTCGAGTTCTAACTCACAAGCGCATAGTTTAAGCAATATTTCACTATTGAAAGCCTTTGTATGCATTCTATGTGTCTCCTTAGTACTTGCAGTAGAGCCTCGGCTAGATAAAGGATAGCAACAAAAGCGGCGTTGGAAACTGCTCTCATCGAAACGCTAGTGCAAGCACTAAGGTATGTAAAGAATAAGCATAAAGGCTTTCGAAGGGGAATTAGTGTATAATCATGTCCTTACGCGTTGGGATAAAAAAAAGAAACACATGCATGAGAGCTAAAAAAAACGGCATGCCCCACGGAGGACTGGAACATACAACTACGCGCATGTTGCCTCTAAAAGGCGAACACACATGTACCATTCGGCAACTATACGCTTCTTTTTTTTCTTTATTGCATTCGGCAACAATGGAGGCGTCTTTTACGGTTGTTTAGGACATACATAAACATCTTTTCCCGATGTAGGATTAGAACTATTTTTTGTGTTGTTTTCATTCTTCTTCGCTTATTACAACCTTCATCGGTCAAGACTTTGTGTACGAGTCGCTCCTCAAGTACGCAATGATGCTTTATTTTGCTCGCATTTCCAGCCTCTTCGACAGTTGTTTCGCCGAGCGAATTTGCATCTTTTTGGCCTAACCAAGGACACGTTTTGGCACACGTCATTTAAACCTCAGAGCGATCGTATCTGTATCGATCGGAGATACCCAAAACGGTTTCTTAAATCTCTCTAGCCATGCCGAATAACGGATCACGGAGCGCGACGCGGTAAGCAAAGCGCCCCGCCCCGCCCCCCCCCCCCCCCCCACGTTTTTTTTTTTTTTTTTGGGGGGGGGGGGGGAGGCGGGGATTGCCAATGACTGTAAATGAGAGTGCGCAGTAGAATATCACGGAAAGAATAAGAAAAAAAAAAGAAGAAAGGCCTGTGTGGCTAATGTTCGGTAGAGCCTTTTCGGTAACTCTCGGTATTGCCAAGTAACTAGTCGTTGACGACACGGGTGAAAGCCCCTTAAAAAAAATAAGAAAAAGAACTCGAGGAAGAACTTTAATACATTTTATTACGAAAGTCGCAAGTTATAAAAGTATCTAATAAATTCCAGCCTTCAAAACTGCCATTATAGTTGAGGATTTAACTATCTTAAAATACTAAATTGTTTCTTTCGTTACACGTTGAACGTGCAAATAGAAAGCAAAGCAGATATGACTGTACCAAGTAAAATCAAATTTAAAGGAAACAAAAAAAAAAAAAGTTTAAAGAAGCCGCAGGTTTGCACCCGTCGCTTGACAATACGGTAGCTTCAGAATCATCTTTTATTCGTGAACAATGAGGCACATTCTGCCATACTCTGGAACTTGAGGAGCCTGTCAGCCGCCATGAAATTTCTGTTTCCACTGCGCTTGTCGTCTGGGGCACTTTTGGTTCCTAGAAAAAGAGAAAATAAAAAAAGAAGCCGAAATAAGTGTGAAACGTAATCTTCATGCGTACACATATTTGGGTTCAAATTGAAATGTAGCTGTGACTCAATGTGCATATATTGATTACACTCTATGCATAGTAGATTACCTATCTTTCCCAAATTATCCTTGATTTAAACATTTAAACGCCAAAAGGAGCTTGAAACCAAAATATGAGAAATCATTCTACATTGAGTGAGCTCGACACCACCTACATAAAAAATTGCTAAATTTCTTTGCTTCACTAAACAAGGCTATATCAGGGCACAAATAGGACGCGACTGCTGCGTTTGCGATATGGCTTGTAATCTCCCTCATTGGACGCGAGTTGAAGTCGAATGATGACGCAGAACTCTTGTTTGATGGGACGTTGCCCATCTCCAGCGATGCAGGAAAATTTGGCACTAGGGATTTTTTTTATGAATATTGTGTTGGTGGATATTCTGAGCCATGAGATATGCGCTGCTCGAAATAAAAAAAAAATAAAAAAATCAACAAAAAAACACCGTTCTTGCATGTTAAGAAAAAGAAAAAAAAAAAGAAACTTACTCGAGTTTACCAGTACCTCAGACCGCCCCAACCGTAGCCCAAACCGTAGGTGCCGTAGCCGTATCCAAGGCCATGGCCGTAGCCCCAAGCTGGAACATGGGAAACTGCCCAGGGGTTGGCATGATAGGAGAAACTGGTACGAGCTGGGAAGCCGACGTATCCGGCGAGGGCGCAGGTGGCCAGGGCCAGGATGAGGAGGGTGCGAAGCTGAAAGTAATCCCAATAGTATTTTCAGTCTAACTAAGCATTTGCGTGAGAATATATAAATAGTTTTCAACACACTTTTTGAGTTATAAATAGTGGAAGTTTTAATTTGGACTAGAATCATTTTTACGTTGTTTGAAATAACCAGAATTTATCTAAAATGGGCCGTAAAAATCGGCGCCCACACGTAGCGATCTAAAGATATCGCCAAAGTTGTATTTCACAGGTCGGTTTCATCTTGTGAAATTACACGGCAATGCTCGTTTTCTGTAAAAAAAGTAGGGCCAAAAAGTTTGCCAGGGTCGACGTCAGACGGCGAGGCAGACGACGGCGTCAAGGGGTGGGGCGCGTTTCGAGCACACATTGATAGATGGCGTTGGTAGCAGCGTGGGAAAGTGTAGTCGACCAGGGGAAGAACGCAGACGAAACGCCGACGACATTCATCGGTAGGAGCGCCGTCGTTATAACAGCGTTTAGCTAGAAATTTCTTTTACTTTTTTTGTTTTTAATTTTTTGGTGGGCATTTATTTTTGAGTTCAAGGTACGTTACAAAAATATTATGCTCATTATAATGTACCACCGCGTCGCGAGCAGTCTCGACTATTGTACCTGTATATGCCAGAGTTGCGCGTTCGTCCCCGTAGCGCCGTCTTTCCTGCACGGCATGCTGATCCTGCCCTCACGTGACTGAATTCGGCGAATAGCGGCGCCGTGCGTTCGAGGCGCGTGGTGCGCTCAAAAGTTCGGAGCTCGGAGCTCAGCTCGGAGCTCAGCTCGGAGCACGTGGAGCGAAAGCTCGCGCTGCAGAACCCAGGGATCCTGGGTTCGAGCCCCACCCCTGCCCATTTCGATCTGGATGAGCATCGTACCGGCGTGCGGTCGTGTATCACTACTGCGTGGTGCACGTTAAAGACCCCAGGCTAGCGGCTGTACCGCACTGGCTAAATTGCTCATCTACAGCTGGGAGACTCGCCGCCCCTGTGAGGCAGACCAAGTTCTAGGCTGTATAAACACACAAACAACCCAATTTTTTAGGGGAACGTACGCCGGGGCGCGTGCAATGTCTACTTTCTTGCGCGGCATTTGATCCTGCTCCTCACGTGATCGGTTCTGGGCGAATGGCAGCACGGCTGCACGTGGAAAATAGACGCGCAACTCCGGCTCCTGTAGTATGGTGCCTGGATCGCGTCTCTGACTGGTGTGTTTAGCGTCCTATCCCGCCCATACATCAAGAGTGGTCCCAAAGTGGCAACAAATGATGTCACAGAAACCGGAGTGTTATGCTGTTGCCTGTCGTGATCCAGGCGGTTGGTAGTAGAAAGGCTGGCGAATAGCACGAGCGAACGCGAGTGTCGCTGTCGTCAAAGCTTCCCAGGCGTCCCAGCTTCCGACTGCTCCATCTTCTGTGGAATGTCGCAGTGAAGAGCGACTTGCAGCAGAACAGGTGTCTGTCACGCACCCCACAGCAGTTGGAACACCACCTGGATCGCAATCGGCGACAGCATGACACTTTTTTGACGTCATCAGGCGGAAATCAAGGGACCACTTTTTTGGGCGCGGAAAACAGACCAGTCGGAGACGCGTTCTAGGCACCATACCTGTAGGGAGCCTATACACGAACTCATCTCTGTTACTTCACGGGGCTGTGGTGGCGCATCGGACGCACTTCCGGTCTGGGGCTGTTAGCGGAAGCCGCCATGGGGCACATGAATTCCTGTGCTACTTTGGAAGAAACCGGACAAAAACCTGCATTCTCGTCAAAACGCTGCGACTGGGGCTCTTCCAAAAGTGTCGGGAAAGGTTTGAAGCTCGGTTTTTATGCGTTTTGCGCCCATGCAATCGTGGACCGACGGCGTCAAAACGCCGTCGGTCCATGATTGCTTGGGCGGGAAGCACTTTGTATTGAATTCACGGATACTTGCGGTCATCACATTTATTTGTTTTGTTCCAACACGAACACGGGAAACCCGTCCAGTTGCACGGGCCACCTGCGGATCACGTTCAGTGCGTCATCACGTTCAAACAGCTGCCTCATCGCTCGAGCTGTCGTCTGCTCTCTTAAACTTTTGTGCTTGTCGTCTGCTCGTTCAAACGACAGCGGCCCGTAGACCAAACGTCGAGGCGGTAATTCCGATAAGAAGTGCAGACCTCAAACGACGTTTAAGTTTGAAGGTTGCTTCGGCTAAGTATAGCTGGTTGTAAGCAGTAGATATAAGGAAATGTTGATAATAGTTAGCAGTCGTCATCACCGACTTGTTATGCCTGATTCACTCGGTCCGATTCTGCTTGCGATTTTTAGTATCAACATCGACATCTCAGCTACGGTTCAGGCTTTCGCAGCCCGAGTGACGTCATGACTGAGAATAGCGAGCAGAACCTCACAATGTGAATCAGGCTATTGCCTCCATACTGCGGCGTCCACGCGGAATGAATCGCCGCATGTTACACTATCCACGCAGAGTTCTGCAGTGTGGCGAGCCTCGTTAATTTTGCTGATGCCGCTCACGTAGTCAGACATTGCAGGAAGATGTAGAATCAACAAATCCAACGCGAAAAAGAGCGCGGGGACTCACATCGACGCCGACAACATCCCATTCCAATGGTTTGTTTATGGGCGACGGCGAGCTTCTTACCCACACCCTTATCGCGCATGCGAGGCGTCGGTGGCGTCTACTAGGGACGCTCCGGTTTGTTTGGAAACACGAGTTGGTGTATAGACCGTTTCACTAGAAAAACCGGAAAGGGAAAAAATGCCTTCCCTCTCTCACCCCGCGCGTCGTCTGCTCCGCCGAGTGGACTCTACCTAACATCCGGCTGGCGTTCAAACTAGGTTTAAAATAGCATAATTTTGGAAATTTCAAGCGGAGATGCGCGGATTTTGATACACAAGTTTTCGTGGAACGCTATGCTCGATAAAAAGACTAACCGGGTCCAATTTTGCGCTGTTACCTGCGTGGAAATAAAAACGTTAAAAAAAGGAAAAATTGTGGCAGTGTGGCCGGTCTCTCCAGCGAAAAGCAAATCCGGTTGTTGTAGCTATTTTACTACACGAAGTTCGTACTGGTGAAGGCCTTTAGCGACAGTGAGTGGAAGCCTGGAATAATAAATAAAAACCTGCTCTCCTGGCGCAATAGACGCAGTGGTTGAGGGTAGTACTGCCGTCTGACTTCAATGCTATTGAAGTAACGGAAGATTTGCTAGATGATTATTAACTAAAATAAAACAACAGAGCACTCTAGGCTGATTTTGGAGTAGCCATAAATATTCTAAGAATGCGAATCACTTCACAATGGCAGCCACGAACGAGAGTCCGATGTTCGGTACAGCCCGCCGGTACAGCCCAAAGATGGAGAACGGCAACCTCCCGCTTTGTCGTCTGCTAGCAGGGTTGGGCGCGTGCCCTCTCTCTCGTTTTACCCAGCCAAACCTGCTCAAGTTCCCGGATCTGTGGAGAGTACGCTGCGGTCGAACAAAATGGCGCCGTCCTGAGAGCACTAAATGAAATGGTCTATGCAAGAACTCCAGTTTCGAAAAGGAGGTAGCGCCATCTATCAATGCGCGCACCAAACGCGTCCCGCCACTCGATCGTTTGCGTCGCTGTCCGCCGTTGATCCTGGAAAGTTTTGTAGCGTGAGCTACACTGGCCGAAGTTGGGCATATTCGCGTGGCTCGCATAATGAGCCGTACTAGGTGTTGCGCAAGCGCGAAGAGCAGTGACGTCAGACGGCGCACGGCTGTCGCGCCGGAGCTGCCGCCGCCGCGCCCGCCTCGCCGGTCTGCGCATTCCAGAGGTGTGCCGTCGTAGCCGCGGCAGACGCACTGGCGCCGCCACGTGCCCATCTGTGCGCCTCCGTTGCGCAGTAGCCAAATTTGACGGTGCACCGGAGCCGCTGATAGCGCCTCTCATTTTGTGCGTATGAGCTCACGCTACGTATATCCTGGCATAGCCAAGCTAAGCCACCGCAATTTTTTTTGCCGTACTTTTTACAGAAAGAAAGCCACGATTTGTAATTTTTGTAAGATAAAACTGACCTGAGAATTATACCTTTGAAGAAAAGTTTAGATTACTACGTGAGGCGCCGATTTTTGCGGCCAAATGTAGATCGAGCCTGGTTGTCTTCAGACTCTCTAAGATCTTCGGTCCCAAACTGGGAGGGTTAACTCCATGGACTGGTGAAGGCGAGCGGGTTGAACATGAGTACAGAAAATTGAAAGAATAAAACACAGAGGACAAGCACAGCAAGCTCAGCAAGAAAGAAAGTGGTTGTCCTGTGCTGGTCCTCTGTGTTTTATTCTTTCAATATTATGTATGTGTTAACTCCATATTTGCTGAAAAAGAACTGCTTGCCTTAGGTGGTGTTTTTCTTGTTGGAATGAGCAAAATGCATATATGGGATTAACATCTAAGCAACCATTTTTGTTTAAGCTTGAATAACTCTTTGTTTTCCTTGATAACCTCTTTAAAGTACCACTACTTATTCAAAACAATAAGTTCACGTGTCTTGTAAAAATTCGATTTTGTAACGGTATATCTTGAATGGACTTGGCTAAGAAAGGGAATAGTCTTAAGAATGGCATCGTATATTTAAAGTTTGAAACTATACCTAATATTTTTTGTCGACGCTGTTTTGAAAACATTTAAAGGGGAACAGCTAGGTAAGTAAAAAACATAGCAAGCGGCCTCTATAATAAATCAACTGCTTGTTCGTTAGAAGCTGATATTTCTGCTCAGAAAGTGAAGTTCAACTTTAAGAAAAAAATTAGTTGTCAAAGAATCAGCAAAAATATACATTCCAGTATATGTTAAATATGACAGTTTATTTAATAACTGTCCGAATACTGGGAGATAGGAAGTTATGAGCCACGAAAATCAATTTGCTCTCATTACAAAAAAAAAAAAAAGTGAAATATTAGCCGCGGATGTTAAGATTCAGGCACCTACCATGATTGGATGTTAAGTCGGCCGAGATGGTCACACTAATGGAGCGCGTAACCATCCGGCCGCTTTTATAGGCCCTCTGACGTGGTGGCCTTGGAACCCCTAAGTGAACAAGGAGTATGTTAGCATTTCGTCCGCTCTAAATTTGGTGTCAACAAGGGGGGAATAAAATGACTAGGATATCAACGTTAGAATCTAACTAAAACTTCTGAGGAGCACGTTTTATGGCTAAAAATATTTCGCTAGTCCTTGAGTCTGCAATCAGCAGACGTTAACTTGGCCACCACATTTTACGCCCGGCGTATATTTTCGATTACTGCTTTTTTGCAACCTGCTGTGCTCGCAGTTTGATATTTTTATTGGCTTTTTCGCAATCAAGTTCTATAATCACCAGATATTTGGAGCTCTCCTCTTGCTAACGGTTTGCTCGAAGAATGGTCCCGATTGGCGTACGCAGCCGCGCCTGTTCGGCAGTCCTAAACCAGCAGTGCCCCTGCCGGACACGCGGGAAGCCCTTACAAAAGCTCGGCCACCTTTTCTGTTCGGAGATCTCTCTCTCTCTCTTCCACCGCGGTCTGGATGCGACAGAAGTGCTTAAAGTTAGTCACGTGCTGTCGTCTGTAAGCTGTTAACATCGCTTTTCAATTTTTAAGCACGACTAAGAAAGGATGAACGTTATCTCTACCATGAAGTTGAACAAAGCAGAGAATTTGATGCTGCTGATATTGTCACAAATGACAAATGATGAGGCGTCGAATAAATGAAGAAACTAAACGTTTAATGGGGCGAACGTGTGCCGAAAACAAAAATAGAGAAAGGTTAGCATCGCAGGCGTCGATGTCGGCGAAACAGCAGGATCGAGCGTTTGGGCGGGACTGACTCCGCTCGCCATGCGGAGTCCCTTATGTACACTCGTGGATTTCTGGATCACTTAACGTAGAACTTTCGATGCCTAGAACTTTCGGAACTCGATCAGACGAGAATGTTCTCGAACTTACAAGAAGGCCAAGTTGAAAGAATAAATAAAACGACAGTCCCCTGACTGGAAACGCGCCTACACCTTTCGCGCAGCACTCAAGCGCGGTAACCACTCGGCCACGCACGTGCTTGGTCGCCGACGCGCGTGGCATTACTTCCCGCGCATCGTCGTGATGTGACGTGCAGAGAAACAAAACAGGAAAACGAACAAAATTAATGAAAAACTACGTAGACTTGGGCAACACAATCCTATCGAGCATATTACTAAACGCAATTCACAGTCCTATCGATCGTAGTACGGATTGAGGCGCACAACTCGAACGACTTCCGGTCGTGGAGGGCGGCGTGATGAAGTCCGTGTTCCGTCGGGCATCACCACGTAGTTTAGAACTTCGAGTCGACAAAAGACTTTGTGGGGTCCAGAGTAGCGCTTGAGGAGTTTCTCGCTGAGACCACGGCGGCCGAATCGGTGTTCACACCCAGACTTGTACACGTTACTGAAAATTAGTAAGGAATTACATTTACAATTACTCAAGGCTAAATTGTAATTTATTACAATTACCCTCCCATGAAAGTAACTGACCGTTACCCCAAAAAGTAATCCGTTACTTTCGTGGCGTTACTTTTAACATTATTGTCCTCAAGTAAGAAAGAGAGGGAAGAGGGTTATTCAAGTTCTTATTCTTGCCACCTGTTCCATTTAATGACCTTGAGTATTTTGAGCAACAGCTGGCTCTCGAATGTCTCGTCAGACATTTTGCATTATCTCTTACTCAATATGTCGACTGCTACGCTGAACACCATTTGAGCTGAGGCACTGGATGGGAGTGCCATATTGTTCCTCACGAATGCTGCATGCTCTGCAGTGAGCTTTTTCAGTGAAGCAAGGAAAGTACTAATTACCTCGAATGTAGAGCAAAGCTTCGTCGTTGCAGCCGTTGCCTGCTATTCGAGAGATTTAGTAGATCCTTCCGGTACCTCCGATACCAGCGATAACGGTACCCGATAACGATATGATGTACACGCAAAGACGGCGGCGAAGTTTCGGATATCGTTATCGGAGTCATCGGACCGATCTACTAAAATTATGCATTTTTTATATCGCGAAGCTGTAGAAGTCATCAATAGCAAAACATAGTTGTAAGGTGATAATTAAATAATAAATAAGGTTTGGCTCGATATTGTTCTTGTTTTGGTTCTGAACAGTTCGAGCCTCACAAAAAAGTTTCCAGTATATAAATATAAGTAATAAAAGAAAAACAAGGACACTTATAACAACAATTAATTATAACGTCGGTTAAAACAGGGAAATGTAAACGCATGTTCGCCGTGTGTACCTTTCTTGGTGCCGTTCAAAAACGCACGGAGCACGAACCGACTGCAGTTTGCTCCGGTGTTCTCCAGATAGACGTCCACTGATGCCACGGGCAGCAAAGTGTAGAGTACCAGGTAAGCCGCGCTATGACCCCACTCACAAATTTCACTCTCTCCTCAAGCCCAGAATGTCAAGTCTACGACAGCCACCATTATGTTTTATTTGTAAAAATATCTGCTTGAGATAAGATGCGTCTTGCTGGCGCAAAACAGGAAGAAGAAAGGAAGACTATTACCATTTTCTAAATGCTCGCAAAAAGCTGACTCATAAAAAGGGTAGGGTAGACGGAGCGTTGTCTCCTGTTGTGACATTATGAAAATGGTCGGAGTCACTATATCCGAGAAGGACATTGTTAGTTCTTTTCAGTGCACTTACCGCCTCGAGCTTCTCGAAGAGGCGCACAATTACTTGGTGTCCTCCTCTCCCCGTCTTCGATCGCAAAGAAAAAACAAAGGGACTAAAAAAAGGCGGAAATAACTTGCCCCCCCCCCCTTTTTTTTTTCGTGAATTGTTCAGTTGGATTTTTTTTAGATTGATGTTAGGGTCTAAAAAAAAAAAAGATAGATTCAGGGGCTTGGTGTTGCAAAAATAGGCTTTGCGGAACTGAAGAGTGCCAAGCCTCCCTTTCCGCTGGTCGATTCGCGTGGCAGTGTCACTGCGCTCTACTTTACAAAAAAAAAATTTATTTAAATTGGGGGGGGGGGGGGGGGGGGTTGGTTGTGACAAAAGAAAATAGGAACGGATTACAAGAAATCCGTTACGTCAAAAATGTAAGGGTATTACTTTAAAAAATACTTTAGAAAATATGTAATTATTCCGTTACAAAATTACCGATAAAAGTAAGGGATTACAAGTAATTTCGTTACTTGTAACGGATTACGTACAAGTCTGTTCACACCCATACCCTGTCTCCGGGCTGGAAGTGGACATCCCGACGGCGAAGGTTGTAGCGGCCAGTGTCGACAAGGTGGTTGAGCTTTAATCCGAAGTCTGGCGAGCTGACGGACTTCTGCCTTTTGGACAACAATCTGGGCGTCGTTGCTTCCGTCGAAAGCCGTTTCGTTGGGTAACATAGCGATATCATTGTCGGTACGTTGCGCCCATGCACCAGTTAAAAGTGTGTCACCCCGGTGGTCTCTTGTACAGCCGTGTTGTAGGCAAATGTGACGTACGGCAACACCTCGTCCCATGTCTTGTGCTCCACGTCGACGTACATGGAGATCATGTCGGCGATGGTCTTGTTTAGGCGTTCCGTCAGCCCATTAGTCTGAGGATGGTACGGTGTGGTTCGCCGGGCGTTGGTGGGGATGAAGGACTTATCCGCTATTGCCGGGTTACGTCATTTTCGATTGGTTTCTTTCGCGTTCTTTCGAGTTCTAACTCACAAGCGCATAGTTGAAGCAATAATTCAGAATCGGAAGCGTTTATATGCATTCTTTGTGTCTCCTTACTTGCAGTAGAGCCTCGGCTAGATACAGGATAGCAACAAAAGTGGCGTTGGAAGCTGCTCTCATGGAAACGCTAGTGCAAGCACTAAGGAGATATAAAAAATAAGCATAAAGGCTCTCAAAGGGGAATTCGTGTATAATCATGCGCTTGCGCGTTAGGATAAAAAAGAAACACATGTAAGAAAGCAATAAAAATGACATGCCCCTCGGAGGACTCGAACATACAACTACGTTTATGTTGCCTCTAAAAGGCGAACACCCATGTCCCATTCGGCAACTATGCAGGCGTCTTTTACGGTTGTTTAGGACATACATAAACATCTTTCCCCGATGTAGGATTAGAACCTTTTTTGTTGTTATTTTCTTTCTTCTTCGCTTATTACAAATTTTCTCGGTTAAGACTTTGCGTAAGAGTCGCTCCTCAAGTACGCAATGGCGGTTTATTTCGGCCCTATTTTCAGTCTCTTCGACAGTTGTTTCGGCGAGCGAATCTGCATTTTTGTGGCCAAACCGAGGACACGTTTTGGCACACGTCATGTGACGCTCAGTGCGATCGTATCCGTAACCATTGAAGGTACCCAAAACGTTAGCTTAAATCTCTCTAGCCATGCCAAATAATGGATCACCGAGCACAACGCGGTAAGCAACGCCCCCCATTTTTTTAGGTTGTCAATGACTAAATGAGAGTGCGCAGTAGAATGGCACGGAAAGAATAAGAACAAAAGACAAAAGAGAGGCCTGTGTGGCTAATGTTCGGTAGAGCCTGTTGGGTAACTCGCGGTATCGCAATGTAACTAGTCGTTGACGACATGGGTGAAAGCCCGTTCGAAAAATCAAGAAAAAGAAGGCGAGAAAGAACTTTAATACATTTTATTACGAAAGTCGGAAGTTATCGAAGTATGTAATAATTCCCAGCCTTGAAAGCGGCCATTATATGGTGAGGATATAACTATCTTAACATACTAAACTGTTTCTTTCGTTACACGTTGAACGTGCGATCGGAAAGGAAAGCATATATGACTGGATAAAATAAAATCAAATTTAAAGAAAGCAACAAAAAAAAAGTAAAAAAAAAAAAAAAGCCGCAGGCTTCCATTCGTCGCTTGATAATACGGTAGCTTTAGAATTATCTTTTATTCGTGAACAAAGAGGCACATCCTGCCAAACCCTGGAACTTGAGGAGCTTGTCAGCCGCCATGATATTTCTGTTTCCACTGCGTGTGTAGTCTGGG